AGTGGAGATCTCTGCCTTCTCTTCTTATAAGGGCATTGATCACATTAAGAGGGTTCCACCCTCATGACCTAAACCTAATTACCTCCCAAAGCCCAACCTCCAGATACCCTCACAGTGGGGTTTGGAGCTTCAGCATATGAGTCGGGGCAGAGACACACACAGTCTATAATATTGTGCCTGTGGCCCTCCCCCAAATCATGTCCTTGCATGCAAACTATGTTCATTTCACCCAACAGCCCCCAAAGTCTTAACTCATTTCAGTATCAACTCTCAAGTCTAAAGTTCAAAATCTTATCTAAATATCTTCTAAATCTGATACGAGTGAAACTCGCTGAGACAGAATTCCTCTCCAGCTGGAACCTGTGAAACCATATAAGTTATGTGCTTTTAAAATATAATGGTGGAACAGGCAGAGGAAAGACATTTCCATTCCTAAAGGGAGAAATCAGAAGGAAAAGGGGGTGATGAGTCCCAACCAAGTCCAAAATTTGGCAAGGCAGATTCCATGAGAACTTTAAGGATCAAGAATAATCTTCTTTGGTTTGGTGTTCTGCTCTCTGGACCCACTGGGGCAGGAGTTGCTTCTTCCCACCTCTTATGCTTCAGGCTGCTGCCCTGAGGCTCCTCTTACCTATTGAATCTGAGGTAATGGTTCCCCCTTCCCCCACCGCATTTGAAACTGAAGTGGGAACCCTCATGAACTCTGAATCACCTTTGGAGTTAGTCTTTCCTTGTCTTGAAGATAGCTCATGTTCCTAGCCATATAGGTCTATGGTCCAGTCCTGTAGGATCTAAGAATTTACAACACCCTCTTACCTGTAGCACGTGGCTTTCATCAGATATTCCACCAGGCTTGTTATGAAATACACACCAATCTCCTGCTCCCTTCTATCCCTTTTCTCCGTCTTCAGAAGCACTACTTTCTATTTTAGCAGATTCTTTTGGTGTTTGCTTCCATACTTCTCACTAACATGCTTATACTGCTGCTTCTTGACTTTTCTGTACTGGACATTATTTACTGACTTATCACCATTAGAAGCCTTTTCACTCCTAGAGGAGGATAAATGTTGGAAAGTTTATAGCAAGAAGTTTGATGTGACTGGAAGAATAATTGGAGTGTGGGGAGGGTCTTCGTATAAGGGAGACCAGATGGGATGGAGGATGTTGCAGTGGATCCATGAAGGCATTGAGGTGTTTTTTTGTTTTTGTTTTTTGTTTCTAATTGAGTAACATACATTCAGTTAAGTACATAAAATGTGCTGAGTGTATAGCTCCATGCTTTTTTACTTGTGTGTATGCTGTGTGTATCTAATACTTCTTTCCAAGTATAGAACATTTCTAGCCTCCTTAAAATTCCCTGGTGCCCCGCAAGACGGTTTTGAACTAAGGCATAGAAATTCATTACTCGTTCTAGAATGAAGCCAGAAAATAAGATGGAGCTCAAGATGACTCCCAGCTTGGGAGACTGGTTAGACTGGGTGGTGATGATGTTACCCAGGTAGTTAATACAGGAGGAAGATAAGGTTTATTGAGGGAGGAGTAAGGATGGTGAGATAAATTCAGCTTTAGACTAACTGAGTTTGGGATGTCTAAGTGGAAGTATATAAAAGGTAGAAATGAAAATACAGAGTTCTGGGATAAAATTGAAATGTAGATTTGTACTCATCAGCATGTATCATCTATTTGAGAACTAAAAGTAGATGAGAACCCTTTAGAGAGAGTGTAGATACTGTGAGATGACCTGAGGTTTGGAGGAGAGGCATATGTTGCTTTTATTAACTATTTTAGTCCAAACAGTGAGTAAAATCAGTGAGCAAATTCAGTTTAAACATTAAAAAAAAAGAAATTTCAATAATATATATTCTTTGTTAAAGATAAAAAATCAAATTGGTTCAGAGGGGTCTAAGTAGGAGGTGTGCTTCCTTCCCCCATCCTACTTGCCACTCCAGTTTTTTTGTGTGTCCTTCCAGATGATTTTATTGCATGTATATTATATTTATAGTTTATCTTTAAAATCTTTTGTCTTTTTTTTGCAGGGGAGTGGTAGTTAGGTTTATTTTTTGGTTTTCAGTGGAGGTAGTGGGGATTGAACCCAGGACCTCGTGCATGCTAAGCATGCACTCTACCACTTGAGCTGTACCCTCCTCCCCGGTTTACCTTTGGATTTTACTTTCCCATCTTGCTTTAGCTAAGAGTGCCTTTTCAGCTACTTAATAAATATGGTTGACAGCCTATAAGGTGTCTAAACAAAATGTCTTATTAGTTTGCCCTCCCCTTGTCCTGTAATGTGTTTTATGGTGTGTGCTTATAGTCTTGACTCAAAATTTTTTCTTCCTTTGAACTTTTTTTTCTTTTTCATTTTCTGGAAAAAAATATTACTGTTCAATCTTGGTCTTTGGAGTTCTTAAATTTCCCTTGATTAATAATACTGGCATAGTGTCACACTCTTGTCTGCTTAATGTGAACAGACTGATACCTGTTTTTTTTAACCTGGAGGGAGTGATTGCTAATATTTTTCTTGATTGCCTTGCTGACAAATTCTCAAATTAGAATGACTCAAAGGCCTCTTAAGAGCCCTCTTGCACGATGAATCCAGAATATGAAATATGCTGTAAGGGTTTGTAGCCCATGTTTTGTTTAGAGTGAACTTGATCTCCAATCCAGTTGAAACTAGAAGATGTCAGATCTGGGTTCTAGAATGTCCTAATATTAATTGTGTAATTACTGTAACTTAATCTCTTCTATGACAGCAAAGAGCATAGTGTGCATTTTCATCCATTCAACAAGTATTTATTGAGTTCCTATGAGGTGTCACTTTCTGTAATCCTAATTGTAATAAAAGGGCACTGTTGAGTACTTCCTATTTGTTAGCACTTAATAAATACTATCCTGAGTGCTAGATGTGCAGTGAGTGAAATAAGCATGGTGCTTTCCTTCATGAAATATTATACATATATTGGATGGTAATACCATTATTTTTATTTGAATCATGTTCCAGATTAAATTAGCATCTGTACTTGAAGATCCAGTAATTTTCTTTTCTCTGAGTCCTAAGGCTTTTTCACCTGTCAGAAGTTTGCATATCAGTTGGCCTGTCCATTCTGACCTGCGGATGATCAGTGAGCTCTGCTTTGACTGAAGCCACATTGTAAAAGCTACTTCATAGTTGCATCTCAGTTCCTTAAAATGTATTTAATTGAATTGAATGAGGCTGTGGTAGAATCACACAATATTTGATAGCAAACCAGTGATTTAACTTCCTCCTTCCTAGACAGTTAAGCCAACTGTATGAATTTTCTTGGTCCTGCTGTTTTGGGTGTGTCTGAACTAAAGCAGATATCTTTTTAAAGAGATCCACCAACAGCATGCCTGACATTAATCTGCCACACATTTGTTAGAGACTTGGGAGTGCTGAAATTGCATTTTTACTAGTATGCTCAGTTGAGAGAAAATAGTTTAAACAATTTCAGAGTTAAGGAGAGTTAGACACTGGTATTAAACACGGTGTTCGTATGGCAAAATATTTTGAGATATATTTTTGAAAAGATGATCCAAATGTCATTTTTCTTGTTTTAAGTGCTTTTGATTTTGTTTTGTCCAGCTTAATAGCTTGCTTACATGTTATATTGTTAATTTTTAAACAAGTTTCTATCTAGCTATTGGCTCATTTTCAGCTATTCTGTTCTAAATACATAACAATCTTGCTCCTGCATAAAAATTTAAGCAGGAAATATTAACACAGACTTCCACCACTTTGGAGAAGAGGTTAATGAAGACATGAGCCAGTTTTACGAATAGTTTTCAGACTTTCTTAGGTCATCAGATTGAATCCGTACCAACAGATTCCAAGTATCATTCCTATCCAAATATCTTTCCTTTGTCAAATACAAGTTTCTTTCCAGACTGTTCTAACTTGTCACATTCAAATAGCCTTCCCCAAACTAACATCACCAGGATACAGTATTCTGAAATATATTTAGCCCTTGGATCAGGTTGCCTGAGAGGCCAAGAAAGGCACTTTTATTCCTTTGGAAGTAAATTTGTAACTTCAGTATGGTGCTCAATTGAAAATACATTCCTGGTAAATTGTGATTGACCATCCTCTCTGCGGTTGGTTGTTTCAAAGTTAAGATTAAATTTAAGGCACAAAGTTCTTCAGTGCAATTTTTCTGTAGAACAAGATTTCCACTAAAATTGACCAAAGAGTAAAAAGCTTTCAGCTATGAGATCTGAAGTACAGTAGCTTGGTGTTTGTATATCAAAATTTGGTTATCCCTGAAGATGAAATGGGGGATAATCTTACAATGTTTGGAAATAGTTATCAGGTCAAGATGAAGGGGGACAGAATGATTTCCTGACTGTTACTGATCGCTCTATCAATTTTTCCCCTGTGTTAGATTTCCCTGTTTTCCCACTTTTATGCAGTGCTGGACCACTCTTGTGTAAGCCTTTTACTTTTGTACATGGTTAATTTGTGTTACCACTGACAACAAAGGCTAATATAAACCGCTTGTTTCCATAGGGGCCTAGTGCTGATAATTACTAGGAATGCGATGGCTGGATGGCTTTAAGAATATATAGCAGTGAAACATTTATAAATTATTGTATTGTATTCTAAAACTGAATTTACTTTTCATTATTTGTATGCTAATGTACTATTTTCAGGGTAGGCTTTCTCTCTGTTGACTTATATTTTTTATATTCTTCATTAAAACAAAGGAAATTATACCTTCTCCAACTATGGCATTTTAGGATCTGTTTCATAAAATCAAATAATAGAAATCAGTGTTACACATTGTTCTCGGTCCTTCTACCTCTGTTTTTCTTTGCTGTTCATCTGAATATAACTTATAACTTATTTCCATTGAAAAAAAAATGTGCCCTGCTTAAATCTTAGTGGATTTTTTTGACAATTACTTCGAGAATTCTGAAGGTATAGTTATATGAATCTGTAAGGACTTAGATTTTAAGTAGTAGTGTTTTCTTACCATGACTGAAATAAACATTGTTAACCTTCCTTTTAGATCCATCATGTTACACAAAATGGAGGACTATATAAAAGACCATTTAACGAAGCTTTTGAAGAAACGCCGATGCTGGTTGCTGTGCTGACTTATGTGGGGTATGGTGTGCTCACTCTCTTTGGATATCTTCGAGATTTCTTGAGGCACTGGAGAATTGAAAAGTGTCACCATGCAACAGAAAGAGAAGAACAACAGGTAATTGTTAGAGAATCTTTGATTCTGTAAATGGAAGCCTTTTTTTCACTCACTTTTATTTTCTTTAGAAATTTGGGTACACGTTAAAATAAAAATATTCTAGATGCAGCTAAATGAAAACATTCCACAAAGAAAGCTGAAAACAAGCATAAAGGTGTGGAGAAATCAAAGCATTTAGCCTATTTTAATTTAATCATCACAAGACTCTATTCTTATCTTATGGATAAGAAAGCTGAAATTTACAGGGTAAGTAATGTTTCCCAAGATGCCTAGTGTTAAAGCTGGTATGTGGACATACGTCTGTGAAGAGTCAGAAGCCATGTTTTTCTCAATACCATGCTGTATCCCAAGATGTGTCCACAGTCTTCTGAAAAGATTGTGTTCTTTAGAACTCATGATGCGTTTTCTCATAGACACAATTTACGTACACATGTGGTTCACAGATCACCTCTTCTCCCCAAACAAACAAGCCCTGAAACAGAATGTGGCTGAGCTGCTGTTTCCCTGGAAAACAATCTTGCTTTAGTAATGGTAAACAGAGATGGTAATGGTTGTCTCTGGGGAGGAGGGCCCCATTCACTTCACTGCACTTTTCTGTGTGTACCATTTTGTGCCTCTAGAGTTTTGTGCAATATACATGTACTACCTATTCAAAAAGTAAATAGAATTTGGGTGAAAAGTGCCTGATTTTATGAAAGCCAAACTTGTTTGTTCTTGGCATGTGAAGTATGAAGAAGTTGTCTTCCAGCCTAGGGAGTGTACTAGAGAAGAGATCCGAAAGTTAGATATCTTTTGTCCACGATGCCTCTCACTTTTGTAAGATGTTAGAGGAGAGAGGCAGATGTGGTGGCAGCACTGTCAGCCCTGAGAGAGGAGCCAGTAAACACTGGGAATGGATGGCAGAGATGTGATGGTGGGCGAGGGAAGAGGACATCAAGAAATATGGGAAAGGAAAGGACCTCAGCAGCTACTGGGAAGCCAAACCAATCAATGGTTCATACAAAGTTAAGTACATACAGGCAGTCCCAATACTTAGTCAATTTACCCTCTGGAAACGTGAAACAAGCTCCAAAGGACCTCAGCAGCTACTGGGAAGCCAAACCAATCAATGGACTGAGGATTCTGAAACTGGGAGAACTGAGGATCCAGGCGGTCTTCTCTCATCTCAGCCATTCTGCACCCTTCCCAGCCCCAGTACCACAAGTCGACCATCCTCCTCATTGTCTTGAAATGCCTACAAGTTCATTTCATTAAGAACATATTTTTTTGCATACCTATTGAAAGCAAAGCCCTACATTCAGAAGTCAGTCAAGTAGGCCAAACATTTTCATCATTGAAAACAAGAATAGATTTTTAAATTTCTTTGATTCACCTTTTTTTCTACCCCTTTACCTCCCAAATAGACGTTCTTGGCTAGAATGCATCCACCATATGTTGATTTTTTTATATTCCCTCAAGTATGGTTTACTTACTATAAGTTACTAGCTTACCATATACTTACTGTGTTATATGGTTTTGTGTACAAGCCAACATCTTCCTACTGGACAGAGTTGCTAGTGGTTGTGACTAATGGGAGCTAAAGTTTTATGGACATATTCAGACTAGAAAATCTTTATCTACTGAGACCTGTCATAGTGTCTATACGCTGTAGAGACCTAATAATTGACATGTAGAGGTGGGATTGGAGGCGTGCTGATTGTGGTGTAGAGAGCATCCCTGGCTGAGGGGATAGTGTAGGCGAAGGCACAAGGAATGTGTGGGAGAACCTGGAATGTAAATGTATGAGAAATTCTGTTTTGAATGGTTGGCGGCATTGAGGAGTCCTGGGCGGTTTTTGAGCAGGGGAGCGAGTTTGCACAGCTGGTCCTCTGTCAGAGTGTGATGAACGAGTGAATGAACCGATGAGGATGTATCTGAATTCCTTTGTGAACGAGCACATTATCTTTGGAGCTTGTTTCACGTTTCCAGAGGGTAAATTGACTAAGTATTGGGGCTGCCTGTATGTACTTAACTTTGTATGAGAGAATTGGAACACATTTTCTTAAGTAGTTTCTGATTTTGTTGAAGAAACAAACACTTCAAAATTACAGGCCTTTGCAAAGCACTATACAGGTAAAGAGCACTTGAATTGTAGACAGATGTAGAACAAAAAAGTAAACTGAATAACATAGAGTTAATCTGGAAATAATTCTTGAAGGAAGTAATAGGAGGAAATAGATGGGACAGAGGGGAACATTTTCCTCTACAGTTTGTTTAGAGAAGGACTGCACTAATTTACCCAAATTCATTTCAATAGGGTTTTCACAGTAGATAACATTAGCAGTCAAAACAGCTGAATTCTGCCATTTTCTTATAAAAATTCAGCTTTTAGAAGGAAAGGAAGGATCATTTAGCCTTATGGTAGATCGCTTTTGTTTTCTGATGCTGGGTAAGAGGGATGGGCAAATTCTAGAGTGTTACACCGGAAAGAGGTGAGGGACAGCGCTTGCTTAGGATCATACAATGCAAATACAGTGTTGCTGCTTCCTTATTTCACTGAGCGAGTGGTATTCATAGCCACATCCTTATTTTCTTCCTCATTATATTATGAAAGAGAGCCTATTTTTAACTTTTGCTATTTGGTCCTGCTAATAAAGATGAATGAGCGTAAGTTTGTTCTGTTATATAAATTGCATAAAGCTATTGGAATTCTTTACTGCTTGATCCTCCATTATTGGTGGTATTTTGGACGAGAATAGTGTTTTCCCTCATTGTTTGGTTTCTTTTTTATGTAAGATGAAGCTAGTAGTTCAGAAACATGTATGGGACAGCTACAGTGAAAGCCTGAATTAATAAAACATTTCTAATATCTAGATAGGAAATACCTTGGAATCTAGGGAATAAATTATAGTAGGTTGTTACCACACACTTACTAAACTTTAACATTTTGCCTCTATAGTTTGTTCATGATCAAATATTCAGAAATGGAATGGATAAGCTATTGAGAAGAGATATGTCCATATCCTGATACATAATTTTCAAGACACAAAGGAGGACATCAATTGAAATACATTAACAGGAATTCCTGGAAGGATTTTATTCTTCACTTCTTCAAAAAGTAGCTTACTAAGAATATTCTGATAATTGTCATTTTAGCAGTATATTTGGAAACTATTAATGTAGTATAGTTATTTGATATATATTAAGCTGGGGGATAATCACTGATTTGTCTTTTGTGGCTCTGTGGGTTTAAAAAGAGCTCTGTTTTCCATTGTTTTGTGGTAAGTGTGGAGTCCAGGACTGCAGCCATCTTTTTTTTTTTTTAAATAGCTTTATTGAGATATAATTTACATACCATAAAAATCACCGTTTTTTTTGTTACTGTTAACAGAAAGTGTCCAGCTAGCACCCAGGCATCATCTCCTACTGCTTAGCCTCTCGCTCATCTGCTCCAGCCACGCTGGCCCCTTTGCGGTTCCTTGAACACACCAAGTACACTCCTGCCTCAATGCCATTGCACTTGCTGTTTGCCTGCCAGGAAAGCTCTGCCCCCAGATAGTCTCCTGAATGGTTCCCTCACTTCCTCTTCCTTCTTTAATGTACCCTGTCCTCCTCAGCTAAGTTTCAGCATGACTCCAGCATCTTACATCCTCCTTCCTTGTTTGATTTTTCTTTTCGTTAGCATTTTTTACTATTAGCATACTTACTGGTCTTGTTCAGTATCTGTTTCTTCTACCAAAACATTAATTCCACAAGGGCAGAGATTATTGTTGTCTTTCTGTTTACTACATTATAACCAGTGCCTAGAAGAATACTTGGCACATATTAGACATGCAGTAAATGTTAAGATGTGAGTGGTATTGTGAGTGATGGTAATAATAACAATGACAAGTTCTGAGTTTTGAATTGACATATTCACAGTCGTGTGTGTGTGTGTGTGTTTGTGATATTCACAGTCGTGTGTGTGTGTGTGTTTGTGAATACATATGCACATAGAAACACACAGATGGCTCAGTTTTAGATCTAGGGAAAACAAGTGTTTTTGAAATCTTGAAATCTTTATACTTTCACTGATGTCATAGGAACAGCAAAGAAGTAGCTTCCTGCCTATAACATTAAAAACAGGAAAGAACAGACAGTAGTATGACTTACATGAACAGTAGGGAAAGCTCTTAATTAACCACAATTCAAAGATTTTAAAGTCACCAGTTTAATTTCTCTTCACAGGTTACTTCTTCCTAATTGTCTTCTTTAAAGAAGCTAAAGATGACATTGTTGGTTTGTAAATAAATACTCCTAGTCGTATAATGCTTTTTAACCATGAGATGACTCCATTATTTGGGATTTTCAAATTCTCTTAGTTTAAGTATTGAAACAGTTTTGTCATGTTTCGGCTATTTCTAGATATATCTTATGAGGTTGTTTCCTTCTCTAGAAAAGGTGCTGCCACAATAAAAATTCAAAACACTGTAGACTTTTGTTTTATTAGCCTGTCTTTGATAATAGGCAGTATTCTGTTTATTATCACCAAATGTCTTGAAATAGTTCAGCAGTACTGTTGTAACTTGTAAACAGCATTAGTGTGTCTTTAAAGAGAAGGTTTCAGATGTGTAGCCTTCAGTTTCAGTGACTAAGAGTTCTGAAGCACCCTCATCTTTTCCAGATAGTTAAGTATCTTAGTGCCATTAGATAAAGTAGATTTTCTTGTGATCAGATGTTAAGGTTACGTAAATTGGGTTACACACTGTTGAGCCAGGCAGCTCAACAAACTGTCAGATTAAACTTTCAGAGTAAATTGTATATTGTGAAAAATATTTTTTCCTTCTGTATAAAAGTTTGAGGCTTATTGGAAAACACCTATTTTTTAACCTCTTCATTGGTTATATATAAATATATACAAATACGCAACATACATCTGGAAAGGTTAATACAAAGCAAATGTGGATATAATCAATGCTTATGTGAGTAAGCAGCCATGACATGAAAAAATGCTCAGTATCACTAATTATCAGAGAAATGCA